ACTGTGCTTTTTTAGATTTCAAGAAAGCATTTGATTATGTAGACAGGGAACACTTATTGTATTTGTTGTTAAGAAAAAATGCCATGGCAAAATGTTCCGGATTTTGGAAAATATGAATACTTCTGTCAAAGGTTCTGTTCAGATTGGAAAATCGTCAAACACAGTCATTTTCTACCTCCAGTGGTGTTCGTCAAGGCTGGATTCTCAGCCGCATGTTTTCATTTTCCTTGTAAAAGAAATAGAACATGAATTGTATGAAAAATGTTATCAAGGTATAATAATGTTTTTATCTCAGGATATAATTAAAAGTTGTATCGTATTATAAATGTTTGGGCACCATGTTCTCATTCAGGCTGATTTGGTCAACAGCGTGTAGTACTCTTGCATTGCAGGCTTCAAAAGCCGTTTTCCTTGTATACAGACTGTTTTATAACAACATGTTCTTGTATTTTTCGACAGTATGTAATATCTTCGATGGTAAAAATGCACCTATTCTGTTGTATACATCGAAAATATGTGGCCTTAAATATCATGACTGTAGTGAAATGGTTCAAACGTCCTATTTCAAACGTTTCCTGTGTGTTGGGAAAATTGCATCGTATAAGGCAATATTAGGCGATATTACGGTTTACCTGTGGGTATTCACATGTATAGTTAAACCAAAATGTTTGGAGATGAAACATTGTTCTTGTCCGTGTTTAAGCAAAGATTAGGGGATATTTATGCCCAAAATTGGCAAGGCAATGTACAGGCTTCACATTTTGGTAGTAATTACAGTCTTGTAAAATTAGAATTTTACCCTGAAGCGTATATTACATACCTGTTTCATGATAAGACGTTTCTGAAGGTATTTTGTAAAGTCTGAATTTGTCAACATTATTTGAATGTGAATGCAACCAGACGAAACAAGGATGCTGAAAGACAGCACATTTTATGTAACCATTGTAACAGCGGACAAGTGCAGGATGAATTTCAGATTTTACTACAATGTCCAGAATATGATGATTTGAGTATAAGATATTTAAGATTTTTCGATGGCAAATATCTAAGTAAATCCCAAATGATAAATTTGTTGAATTCACAAACAGAAGTACCGTTAAGGCAACAGGCAAATTTCTGAAGTGTGTATTCTCGAAGAATGTTTGAAACAGTGTTTAAATATAGTTTTTCTATTTTCTTACCACGTGACAACAAAGATGTTGTAACAACAATGGTTGTGCGTGCTTATACAACAATCATCATTCAAGGGCAATTACTGTAACAAACTTACAACTATGGTCGTAGTATGACCAGAAATTATTGAGAATTTTAGGAATATCTTTTATTGGATTTCTAGTATAAACAACCTCGACCAGCTATCAAGTGCTTGGTTTCATTCAAGAGAGACAACTCCGTTAATCCTTTTTCATTAGTTTGTGAAGAGTTATCCCCCTTTGTTTACTTGCTAGCAGACGACATTTTCAGTGATCCTCAGTATGGATGATTTAGAGAAGAGGAAGTTGATTTTAGAGTATTCTAACAAGGACATCAGATCAGCTAAAGTGATTTCAGGTAGAACAGTCATCCCTTTGTCGACTGTTTATCGTGTTTAGAAAAATATTGCAAATGGATATGGCATTGAGCACCAGGGAGGCGCAGGTAGGCCCAGAAAATTGACTGTCGGTGACAGGAGGCGGCTTGTTATTCTTGTTTCTAAAAACAAACGAAGGAGTTTAGAAAACCTAAGGCTGAATATGACTGATAGAGGAACTGTGGCTGTCTGTAAGGAGACAATTAGAACTGAGCTGCATGCAATGGGTTGGCAGAAAAGTCGAGGAATTCCATCACCGATCATGAGACCTGAACAAAAGGAGCGAAGGTTGAACTGGTGCTTACAGCATAGAAATTTTCACTGGGACAATGTGATTTTCTCAGATGAAAGTTCTGTGTGGCTGTTTCCTAATACACTGAAATTCTGGACCAAACAAACTAAAAACCTTTGTATCAGCGCCCAAAGTACAGTCCGAAATTTAACGTGTGGGGTGGCATATCTGTGTTAGGGGCAACGCCCCTCTGTGTATTTGAAGTGAATATGAACAGTGAGCGGTACACATATATTCTCGAGGGACATTTACTTCCATCTGCTCACGTGTTCTATGGAAATTCCTGGATTTTCCAGCAGGACAACGACCCAAAACATCGTTCAAAGCATTCACAGGCCTGGTTTCGGACCCAAAATATGACATTATTAGATTGGCCAAGCTATAGCCCTGACCTAAATCCACTAGAAAATGTTTGGGGACTTATGAAGGAGAGTGTCAATAAGAAAAATCTGACAAATTCTCAATAATTTCTGTTGTACTGTATAAGGAAGAGCAAGTGGTGATGCACTCGCAAAGGATTAATTATTATCATTGATTGACTCGGATATATCTCCTAATCTTTTCAATCGTAACTTCAAAATGAAGTTCCTCTAGTTTTTCTAAGATCATGTAATGACCAGTTAGTCTTTGTAAAGTTCCTTCCTTAAACGTGGATCATCACCAAGGTTAATAGTTTTGTGACTCCCGCATAAGTCACCAATATACATTTTGTCTAGAACCCAATGCCAATAGAACATCCGACCGACTACACGTGGATGAGGACTTCTGTTTTCGTCTTGCTATTAGGCGAGGCCTCCACAACGGACCTCCTGTTCACAAACCATGGCTTCATCACAAACACTCATTCAATCCAGAGCATCTTCTCAGAAGGACTCGCCTGGTTCTCAGAAACAATCATCTAAATCAGAGCTAAATGCGAAACTAACTGTGAACATCCAAACCAAACTTTTAAGAATACCCAAATGGTACAAAGTGACTAATAACTAGATCGAAATCTTTAAAAAGTTTGGATCCCTTGAGGACATGGATTTGTTCGACAATAGCCTTCGTGGTAGGACTCATAACTTGTCTCGGTCAAAGAAGTTGATCTCCACCATCCTCCGAAGACATGATGTCTGTACGTGTGATAAATAGAATTGTAGAGGAATGAGGAGTGACTTTTTATGACTAGCAGCTCTTAGTCCAAGATTTTCCAACAGTCAGCTGTCGCCTTACAAAAAACCTATCTAATGCAGGCGGATAATCTTGACCTAAGTCAATGCCTATCCCTGTTTTTCTCTTCTTGGTGAAACGTCTACCCAAGGATAGTCAATCCTGCTAAGGCATAATACTATCCAAGGCCCAGTTACACAAAAACAGATCTCCCAGCCGTTGCGGTATGACTTCATTTTTGCGTTTCATTTGCTCTGGGATCATTGCGCATTCCGCCTTCATCAATTGTTCAGCTATCTGATCTGCAAGATCATTATGATCAACTCCCTAAACACTGTAATGTCCGTAGATCGATGTTCATGCTGTTGATCACTGTATTGCCGAGTGCGGCGTAAAACTAAACTCACTCACTCACTGTAATGTCCACATCTCAAACAACTACGATCCCTAAGGTGAATGAGTGGTGAGTAAAAAGTTTACGTCACAAGGGCAATATTTCAGCCATATCGTGTCGACAAATGGAATATACATATTAAACATCGTATGAATAAGATGTCCTGTCATCAATGGACAGTATAATAACTAGAATATTACAGATACATTTTAAAACTATGGTTTAACTGCTCGTAGTTTATTGACACCTACTTGGGTGTCCCACTTCTCTTGTATTAGATCACGAGTGTAACTTCTAATAACAGGTTTTTAGTCACTGTAAGGTTTCAGCAGTGGTGTCACAGATTTGTTGAGTGCTGCCATTGTGTTCCTAGTAAAATTCTATCATGACTGGGTAACGAACAGAAGACGATCATTATATAATGCAAGTATTTTGATTGAAAGTGGATGTTTACAAAATATTGTTCATTATTTATATTGTGGGGTCTTCATAAATGTATGTAAGATGTGTGTTTTATGGCAGTTACTTCTGTTGTGAAAATACAGGTGTCATTCGGTAATCGAGAAAATACTGTTCTGGATGAAATTTACAATGGTACAAACAACTGCGCCACCATCCTTGGATCCAGCCGTCTATAAGTGTATATCTGTAATATATCTTCTTTTTAAGTGATTAAATTCTTGTTTGTATTGTGATTCAGATTCTAAGCGTACTAAATGATCAATAGAACTACGATCTTTCCGGAAACCATATTGTATATTAGTACTTGAATTATTGGTTTCCAGATACCAAATTAATCCGTTATTTACCATTCGTTCCATGGTTTTGCAGATATAACTTGTTAAAGATATGGGTCTGTAATTAGAAAGATCAGTATGATCCCGACGAGGCTTCGGTATGGAGACTACAATAGCATTATACCATGAAGTTGGTGAAATGTAGTGAAAATAGTTCGTAGTAATCTTCACCCTTGTCTGATTTAGAATTAATTACTTTCTTCTCGAGATGTTTCTGATATTTCTGAAACTCAGGGACATAACTGGATGAAGACGAATGCTCGGAGAGAGTTTCACCAATTTGCTATGTTAGTTTTATCAGTTAATACATTGTCACCATCCTTCAGATTGTGAGCAGTATATTTTCGTAATTTCAGATATGACAGTGGCCAAGTATGTGACATAAGATGGTTTTCCTGTTCAACACTTTCCTTACATATTAGAAAATGTTAGGCAGTCCAACCGTTGTTGTAAGTCTAAAACATGAGTGTTGTCAAGTCATTAAACGAAGATATGCGACTACTTCAAAATCGTTTGGAAATATTTTGTATATTTTCAAAATGACAATTGTGGCTATTTTCCTATTTCCTCCTATTTCGTCCTTAACAGACACATTTTCTATCACTGAATTCCAAATAACTTCCTTTGGGTTGGGAGACCTGTCAGTTTCAATAAACGTTTCATGACGTTGGAAAACATGTCTTGAATCATAGTAACATTAACACCAAATGTGTGACAAATATGAACGTTCTAGTATAAAAGGATCATGACTTTCAGGTATGAATATCAATCACCTGTACAGTCACTGTAAGGAGGATGTTTCACAGCAATTCATCACGAAAGGAGAGTCGGTACCTGAGAGTAGCAGTCATGGGAGGCCCAAGATGTGGCAAGACATCAATTCTGAACCAGTACATTCATCACATCTTTGCTGACCGGCACCAGATTACTAAAGGGGAGGTCCATTCAAAGAAGTTACAAGTAAGAGGGGAACACATCCAGCTGCAAATCTGGGACGCTCCAGATGATTTTAATGCATCAAACCAACATGCGATCCTCAACTCTGATGCATTCCTCTTGGTGTATGCCATGGATGACGCTCTTTCCTTTGAAAGAGTCATGGCTCTGCAAGACAACATTATCTCCACAAGAGGACCTGTTACGATTGTGCTAGCCGGAACAAAAGCTGATCTCACATCAGATCAGTGGTTCGAAAACCAGAAATATTTATGGGACTTTGTGAGTGTAGATTTTGGTTACTCTCATCATGAAATCTCCTCCAAAACCGGGAGAGGGATCTCCGAAGTGTTTGCAGATATCGTTAAGCAATGGCGAAAAGCAGAAAAGAGGCCAAAGAAGATGAAACTTCCAAAATGTCTGCGCAAATTCAGTCGATTATAAGATGTATTATGTGTTATATAAATTGTTTATCTCATACATGTAGTCCGTTATCTTTTTCTTGAAATTCTTTGCGTTGAAAGGCTTGGCATTTGTTTGCCACTTTTATTCACTCCCCACGTCATGCGAAATCCATTCCTGTGCCTCCCATGTCGTTATTACTGAAGCAATGTCAAATGTTTCTGCACAATTCAACACTTTTAGAGCGATATGTCCCAGAATAAGGAGACGGAATCTGCTCTTCTCGAGGCGTTATCTTTTCACTGAATTAATTTGTAGATTTTGGTCCTAACAGTTAATTATTCCGAAGCATACAAGAACGCACAGATAAAGCACGTGCTTCAGACACAGACACATGTTCACATGCTGCGGAGGCGCCAAAAGACGACAGTACTGAAAGTAACTGCTGGTGACATTCAGAAACAACACGATGCCAAGTTATTGGCCTGTATGATGCAAGGATGTCCTGTCGCAACATCGGTGATGACGCGAATACATGTATTAACCATACGGTCATCAGTCACCTTGTGAGGAGGCACGTGGTCCACGGCGAAGTACAGAATCCTCCTGAAAGACCGGGATAGACCAATGTCCGTGAAAAGTCCTAATTCGTCCAGTTAGACACGGACCCACGCTCCATACCGTATACATGTACAGAGGGAGTCTGACTCTCCACTAGTACTATCAGATGGAGGCCGCGGGCTCGTCAGGCGTATGTAAGTCAACAAGGTCTGTTGTTTCAATGATTGCCATAACTAGGGTTCGAACAACAATTTCCAAGTCATTTCAAAGGATATCGCAAAGTGGCATAGATACAATATTGACTAACTTTTGAAACATTTTCGGGGGGACATTTATTTGAATATCTTGTTACGTGTCGACTTTCCAGTAATATCTTCTTTGAGAGGCATTTTAAAAGTTGTAAAGATGAAGGAAAAACAAGTTCTCTGGATAGGTCACGAGCAGAGCGGCTGCAACATAGCTTGAGACCTAAAGGGAAAATCGTTTACTAGAAAGTGGAGGTCATTCCCTTGTCAGTTGTTTGAGAGTTTGACGATAACGAGGTTTCATACTTATATCGCTCAGGTGGGAAATTGATATTTGACAATTAATAAAAGATATCAGCTATATACATCAAACATACGTAACGCTTCTTGAAGGGGGCCACATTTGGGGCCCTCGTGGATGCCTACATCTTACCTAAAAGTCACATTAATGTTATAGATGAGGACATCCAGGATTTTAGTTTTTATTTTATTTTGGATTATTGAGAGGATACACCCTTAATTAATGGCCATGATGTGATGAAACACGCTTTCAGGAAGTAGTGATGCTGGTTAGTAAGAAAGTCTCATTTACGATGGACGTACAGAATATACATTATACCGATAGAATTTGGTCCATTTATTCACAGCAATACACCCAATTAGCACCACCCTGAACTCCAAGCGTTCCCAAACTTTCTTGGATCAGATGCAGGATCTTGTTTGGGGAAATTAGCCGGCACCATCGTCTTCTTGTAGTCCTCAAACCGGGCACGCAACTTGGCAACCATGTCTGGCATCTGTTGTGCAAGGTCGTTGTGCTCAGTCGGATCCTCTGAATGCGAATCACAATATTTGTTAGCATGTGACAGGGTTTTTCATATAATTTGAAGTGTGGGTCTGGATGTAAATCATTTATAATAAGCAGAGTGTTGAGTGAATGAGGGGGTTTTAGCGGTATTACATCAATATCACGACGAGGAAAATGGAACAGTGAGTATTGCCCAGCACTTACATTCAAATATATGTAATGTTTATGGAAATGGAGAAATCACTTGTTTATATATATATGTTTATGTATAGGAGAAAACACTTCCCCTCGGTTTTGGTTGAGAATACAAAACCGAGGGAGGAGGGAGATCTCCAGGGGCTTTAGCTTTAGCCCCGAGGGATTTCCATCCTCCCAAGCTTTTACATTCTCTACCAGAACCTAGGGGAAGTGTTTTCCCTAACATATAAACCGTCAATGATGGATAATTATAATGCAGATGATCATTTAATGAAGCTACATAATAATAACTAAAGCGCAAGTAAAATCAATTTAATGACAGAAACTATAAATAGATAATTCAACCCCAACATCTTCGTCGGCCGTGAGGTAGAGCGTCCGCTTATTTCAAACACTCATATATCATTTGAATGTTGATGTTCATATATAGTTCGGAAAAATTAAAACCTGGGAAGAGGTCTTACTTACAAAAAAGTAGAGCCTGGGAAGAGGTCTTACTTACAAAAAGTAAAACCTGAGAGCAAACAAAAACCTCAAATGTGGTTATTCCGGGAAAAGAAGAAATACTTAATATATAGTGAGAAGCACACTTCACGTGTATATGAAATGGGTGGTCAGGTCTGAGGAGATCAAATTATACTCAAACTGCCTACCTCGAATGTTGAAGAGCTGTACTGGTTGATCTCCCTTGAGGTAAACTCTCTGTACATATATGTCATCCTGGGTCCTGTTCATGGGTCTGTGCCAACCATCAGGGCCTCCAGGGTATCCCATGATCAGTTTGTAGTCTCCTACTCTGATACACAAGGAGAGAGACACAGATTGGTACAAGTTTATGTTAATGACTGTCCTCAATGTCACATGGAGTTTCATCTGAATTATGTCACTGAATAACAGATCATACAGGTAATTCTGATAGTCTGTTTCGTTTTATGTATTTTGATGGAAAATATGCTTGTAAAATACCTTATACCAGCATGCCCTTCGACTGGAACCTCCATGTCGTCGATGTTATAGATGAACTCTGTCCTTGACGACGGAAGACCACTTCGAATAGAATCCCAGTGACTCATTCCGTCAATGGTAGTTTCTGTACCCCAGACACAAGGTAAGGCAGTGAACACCATTTGTCGTACCTTGACGATGTTTCTATTGATATTATCAACCTGACAATGTATAATAAATATCCTACAGGCTCTTTAGAGTCTTTCATAACTGCAATAGACGGGGGGATACGTTCCTACCTGGAGTTCCTCCAGCAGCGGTCACTAAAGTCGGTTTCCAGTCAACGGCATGGATCATCCTGTATAATGTACATTTAGAAGCGATTCAACTGAAAAAGTCCACATGCCTAAAATATCTCAGTTAGTGTTGGAATCTGTGCTAGATAATCAATAAGCGGTGTGAACATTCCCCCGTAAGAGAGGCATTTTAAATAGTCTGTCTTGTAAAATATACTACAGTAAGATTACAGATGTACATGAATATGGTGCCCACTGGGGGATTATTTATTTGGTCTGGAACATCATCGTTGACACTCCTTTCTGGAAAAGGATCATATATTTTGGTCTGATTGTATTGTATTGTATTACCCATCGTATGTCGTCCTTGTCTTCTGAAGCCCAGCACCATACATGAAGGATGTCCCCCTCGTACCCCCCTCCCAGATGGTGTGCTTTCCTCCTCTCAGAGGCCAGTTGTTAGCGTGACCATCAATAGGACCTCCGTTCTGAATGACATGTCCATGCAGACAAACACATAGCTGATGTAAATTAAATATATTGGCCTGTTGGTTGTTTGAAACAAAAGAGAATTAATGGGAAAGTGCCGTAGTTTTGATGTATAACATAGAAGTGACCAGGATCTGGAGTGTAGTTCAGTTATCGTTTCATTCCCTTTATGTATAACTAGAAACAAAGAACTTAAAGGTCATGAACAGAATAATAAGAGTAATTAGTGTTGAAAAAAAGCTAAATTAATTATTTATCACAATCAAATACGAGGGGCGTTCAAAAAGTAGTCAGGCACACCTAGAAAATGATACAGATGCAGCTGTTTTTATGTTTATATTTTTTCTACATAATATCTGTCAATCTCAAACAAATTGGTTTTGTTATGGTCTTTCACCATTATGTTTGACTTTTTATCTTGGTGCCCCCAAAACCCGCAAATTCTGCAATAAATGCATCACAAACTTCAAGAAACAAAATATGCAAGAAACATGTTGTGCGCTTGAGATAGGCAGAAGTCCGCTAGAATCAAACTTGGACATTAAAGTGCATAAAAAAGCAACTTGAAACGACAATCGCTTGTTAAAGTGACTGCCCCCTTCAACTTTACTGAAACAGCTTGTTTTGGAGACATTACCCACCCCCTTTTCAGGACATAACTTTTTCTAATGTGTTCACCTATTCATACATGAAGCCAAGGGTTCACATTAAATACTGAAAGGTCACAGAAGTGTCAACTTTCAATATATAGTAAACAGTGCCAGCTTGAATATCTGGACACAATGTTTTTGAAAGATTATAATGGTGGTGTCCTTAAAGGAACAATCCCCATCTAAATATATATGAAGTAATCCAAATCGTTGAATGTTGATTATGACGGGAAGCCATCCAATACTATACTGAACATATTTTATATAATAATATTATCTGAGGACATACCATTATCCAAACCATTATCATTTTCCGCGATACTTTAAGAAATATTATACCCAAATGTTTTGTAATTACTAATATCTCGTAAACTACATTACCCACATATGTGAAATTTTGGGTATGGCTTTGCAAATGATTGTTCAAAATATAAAGGAAGCTTAGACTGACTACCTTTTGAACGCCCCTCGTATGTCGAGATGTATTCAAGAGTATCGTTGTACACGAAACTGACTCAAAGTTGTCATCTCCAGTTTTTGATACTGGAGCTACTTACATCTGTGGTAAATAGAATCAGTGTATTTTCAAACAAGCCCCGATCCTTCAGGGCTTTGGTGACATTTCCCACTGCCTCATCCAGGGCAGACACCATTCCTACAGGAAACAATGGTAGTGGATCAATGCTTTAAACAATATTATGAATATATCAGTGCACTTTGTACAGGTCAAGAAGTAACCAGAGAACACATAGGTAATCATTTCCGATCCGTGAGGCGAGCATGCGCTCGAATGGTCCTTCGTCGCAAAGGGGTCACGCATCTAATACTATTCAAAACTCAACAAAAGCATAAATCAATTATCTGAGCCATGATAAACATGCTTTTTAAGAAACAGAATATGAGCATTTCAGAAACATTTGTCCAAAGAGAATATAATATATATCCATGGTGGGTTTGTAGCTATACAAGACACCATAGAATAGGTAAGAAACGCAGACATAAAATGCATACCACATAGCACTCTTCGCCCTTCGTTGATCACATTAGGATACATATCTTCATACTTCTTTGGCACCTGTGAAATCAAATGTTGTGGTACATTCTTTTAAAATAGAACTCATTCAGATGCAGTGTAAGCAGGTTAAGACCAATCATTACCCAATGTGACACAGCCTCGAACCATCCCCACAAAACAACAACTGAACTGTTACAGTTAAAGGACACGACTAAACTAATTATATTTACCATTGTTTATTGAGACGTAGTGGCGTTGTATATACTCTTGACAAAATATATGTCCAGGCTACAGGAATGTCTGATGTACATTTTCTCAATTACCTCGAGAGGAGCATGAATATTCTGATAAGGAAGGTACATAAACAGCGGCTGTGACACGTTATGTTGATGGATGATATCAACGGCTCTCTGGACGAACGTGAACTGAAAGGATAATGCAGATATACATAATGGTCACACCAATACACCTCCTCGAGACAATATTTTGATATATATAATCATGTGTCAAAAGCAGTCCTTGCATACGTACAGCAGAATACTCCCCAGAATAGTTTCGTGCGGGAAGCTCATTGTCCCTGTAGTCCAGATATCCATCTACAGAAATAAAATCTTAGGTTAGTATGCATCTCTTAACAATGTTTAGAGAAGTGTAAATCCGCGAATCGATGTTTAAAACAAAATTCTTCTAAACTGAGTGAGTGAGTGAGCTGATATGTCTCATCGGCAATATCTTAGCCATATCGTGAATAAAACAAGTCATTTATTGATAATAAATAAAAGTTATATTATAAAATGAGTGGACAGGACGGTAAAATAACTAGATTATCACAGATAGAAAAAATAAAACTAACAAGGAAACTAAGCCACTATTACGGACAGTGCAATATAACAACGTACTGGACATCACTAACAACTGAAGGTAGATCACCATGCTAGGGACCATGGGAACTTACAGCATTTATGATCATGGACCCTAGCTGGATTTACACCATTCTTTTGGTTGTTGATTTTAACCGTAATTATAATTAGACTTATTCATTCATTCAGTTCAAATTTGTACGTATTATTTACAATATACACTAGGGTAAAAAAATATCAGTTAATTATGTACCTTATAAAATCCTAAATAACTCAATGCCAAATGATATTAAAAAGATCCTTTATTAAAAGTGAATGTTCAGCAGATATGTTTTTAATAGCCTGGAGGCACGAATATGAGTCCGAAAAAAGTGTATATTGTTTATATTTGGGCTGTATATACATGAATATATTCCAGATCTGTTAATATGGCTGTGAAAATAGAGGTGTCATTTGGTAATGGAGACAATTTTCTTGATCAGAATTACAGTGGTACAAACAACTGCGCCACCATCATTGGACAATCTGTAAATATAGATTTGAATTATATATATTTCTGAATTGATTGAATCCTTTTTTATGCTGTAACTGATTGGTTTCTGATTTCTTAAATATGGTTTCACCAATTGCCAGCTAGGAGAAAGCGCAGGCGGAAAGGATATCATATATTCTTTAGCTCAATATTGGCAGAAGGAATGGAAGGTTAAATTCGTATTCCAAGAAGTGGAACAAGTGAAGACATTTTTTTTTATCATACACATCCACATAGAGTGGGTTTAACACACATTTGGGTGCGGCGTTGGGCTCACTGGAAAACTGTTTTGTTACATACTGAAAAGAGAGCTTAATGCGGCGGTGGCTAAGAAAAGGCAATCAACAGAAGTTGATGCAAAGGCCCAGACCTTGGTGGTGGATAGAATCAGAGGTTGTTTTTTCACGCTCCACCCACAGGCCCTCGTGTCTTTTCGAGGATTAAAGATTTTAAGAAAAATATTAAAAACTCGAGATGACCCCGGACTGGAAATGCTTCACAGTAGAATACATTATGAAAATATATAAAAATTGAGATGACCCCCGACTCGAAATGCTTCACAGTAGAATACATTTTGTATTCTAATAATGTATTCTACTGTGAAGCATTTCCAGTCGGGGCTCATCTCATATTTTTTATATTTTTCTTAATATTTTTAATCCTCGCAAAGACACGAGGGCATGTGGCTCCACCATATAAGATTATAGAGTCGTAATCGAGTTTTCTAAGCGGATGAGTGACCTATATGAGTGTCGTAGGGTAGTCAATCCCCACTTTGAATTCAAATCGACTTTTAACATGTCAAGTGCCTTTATGCAATTATCTTTTAGGCATTAAATAAGTGGTATGAAAGTAAAATGAGACTAAAAAATAAGTCCCAATAACTTGGCATCTTCAAACCTTGATGGTTGTGCCATTTATATCAGTTCAAATGCTTTAAAAGGTCAGACTAATAATACGTACCCACATTGTGATTGAAATAGTCTTCAGCTGCATTATAATAACCAAAGAAAGAGTCAAAACCCCGATAGGTCGGTGTGCACTCCCTCTTGCAGAAACCCAGATGCCATCTGAAATAGGAGTGTATATATGATGCTTGTATGTTAACCGTGGTGATCCAAAGAATACACACCAATTCCCCCGTTACAGAAACCCAGGTAACAGAGAAAATATAGAGCTTGTGGTGGCGTGTGGTCCACTGCATAGCGCTCAGGTCACAATCAGGTGAAGTTAAGTAACGTTGGGCGCGGAGAGTCCATGGATGGGTGACCGTGTTTGGCAGCTTAACTCCTGAGAGTTTCTAGTACAAAATGCATTGCAGGTGAATGTGATAGTTTGAGTGTAACAGTATACCCACTTTCCGATCATGTGTGTAGCATAGCCGAGTTTCTTTAGTTCCTGGGGCAGGAATGTATAGTTGAGGGGCACACACACTGCTTGGCCAGGGAGCAGGACCTTATGCTGAATACGAATGTTACAGTAAGAAATGCGTAGGCGCTGCATGTCGGCTTATATTTAGCCATGTCGGGACGAGATTATGTTTATATATGATGATGGTAATTATTGATGAAGACCAGAAGGCAATACAGGCCAGCAACTTTTAAGCCAGTGAGATACATACAGAATTTGCAAGATCTTTATGGATGACTCAAACTCTATTTTTTGGTGAGTAAAGAAGCTGTCAATGACATGATTTTAGTGCTACCTACCGATGTTCTAAAATGCCATTCAAACAGTATGTTCTACACAAGGGCCAACCGAACAATGAGTGAAGGGGTCAACGTTAAGGAGTAGAAGACTGTTCCAAGATACAACCATGTATTCAGGGACTTTCCCTTGCATCATGATCTACAATGCAACCACGATGTTCGATGCGTTAACGTCTTGATACTGATAAACCAAACAGCATAATTACCTGCATGCCAACATGGAAGGGAAACATTCCACTCATGAAAGTGGTTCGTGATCTGAAACAATAAGTGTTCTGATACTCGTGTGATATTGCCAAACAATGATATAAAAATACTGATGAAAAAACAATCTTGTGTGGAGTGAGTGAGTGAATGAGTACAGTTTTAAGCCGCTTTGTGTAGAGTGAGTTAGTATGTTTTACGCTGCTCTTAGCAATATTCCAGCAATATCACGACCGGGGGACACCAGGAATGGGTGTAGAATCCGCTCCTATTTGTGTTCATAAGATTTCATGTATTTTATAAATATATATCTTATCTGAGTGAGTTTGAAAACTATCTGCTGTTTCTGACCTCTTTTTCCTAAAATTGCAACTGTCGTTTTTCTTCTGTCTTATACAACTTATACAATATAAAATACAACTTACGGACTGCACAGAGGCTGGACATATGCATTCTCGAAGATGATTCCTTCTGTGGCTAGTTTGTCGAGGTTTGGGGTCTTCATATCAGGATTCCGGTAACCAATATCATTCCAGCCTATATACGTAAACATTGTCTCCAAAATATTCAGCTAAAACCTTTAAAATCTCGTATTCGAAATAAGATGACATTAAGAGTGGCAAATTCTATAGGAGGAATTTCCCATGAAATTACTGTGTAGTTATGACCCTGTGTCTACACTCACCTAAGTCATCTGCCACAATAAACACGATGTTAGGACGCTGCGCTGATGACAGAGGAACGAAACACAGAAACAAAGCAGCCCACTGTCGAACATCCATTGTATTTGCTCGTACAGCCGAAATAAAAAAATTTTCATTCTCAGTCTATACATTTATTCCGGCCTCATACACAAGACTGATAAAGCATATCTATATCTCAGACTTAACCTACATAGACTGGTATTTCGCGTATGTCGAAACATCTACAATGATAAGAACCTTACATGGAATGTTGTTATTTTATTATTATTGGGTTTGCCCTGAGTAGTAGTATTATGATTATTATGATTATGATTATTATTATTATTATTATAGGATATTTATATAGCGCACATATCCATGTACTAGAGCATGCTCAAGGCGCTGGTATTTTGGATGTCAATCTCAACGGCACATCTTATTATCAATCTCAGCTCCCTGGGGATCATACAACTCTTGCAGCCACAAGGCGCACCGAGTTATTGCGGCTTTCCCATCCTTACGAGGTACCCAATTACAGCTGGGTGGACTGGGACACATAGTTGACTCCAAGGTTTTTACACCTGGCCACTGGTGGGCTCGATCCCGGCACCTCATGCAGTGCCTTTGTTGTGTAGATTTTGATGCTTTTACATCTGAGTGAATGAGTGAGTGAGTTTGGTTTGTCCAAGTTTCACTGCACGTTGCTGTACCCGCAACTAGGTGTTTGCACGTATTCATGCGGCCACCATCTGATCATATGACAACGGATTCGTGTGTTCTTTTAAGTGCACAGGGTTGTGTATTGTACACTAGGGGTGTGACTGAAAGAGTCTGCACACAATGTTGACTTGTAATGTTATTTACACACACACGCACGCACACACACACACACCAGGCCGAAATGCTCAGATAATACTGCGTGCGGCGTTAAACAACAGTGAAAGGTAAACACATGGTATGGAAACACCAACAACTAAAGGCAGATCCCTTCACTAGGAACCAAGGGATCAGTGCTATTGCTATCCCGGCAGAATATACATCAAGCCTTCGTGTCTTGGTGTTTATTGACAAAGTTAGCCAAATTAAACTAACAGTGCCGCAGAATCCAGGTACTCCAGGTAGTTTTCATTCATGTCTTGTTTTTGTGTTCAGTACCTGTTGGACAATGGCATTATTGACTGGAGTGCACCTTGCATTCTCTGTCGAAGCCTGACAGTAGTTACAGAACCATTGCAATGACGTGAAACTGTCGTTGTCATGCCTGATACGAAATACCAAGAACTGATTGCTGCATCAAGAAGTCCATTACGTGTGCAAAGTAAGTGTATATGAGTACAACTTTGTGCCAAACACAAGTGTACACATATCACAATCCAGTTTTCTTTTCTTGCCATAATCCGAAAGACCAAACGCCTAATGGGCTCGGACTTGGTTTAGCTGGAATTATTCCTGGCAAGGTAGGCATTGTTGCCGATTCATGGTTACGAGTTGGCTGAAAGTAATCGGTTTTGACTGCAAACAGGATTCGCAGGTGTGTAAAACAACTGGTAGTTTCCACTAAAAAATGGTCTCTTGCGATGAGGTTTTCACCATCAAGCATATTCTGCTTGACTGGGTGGACTTATCGCCTGCAAGGCACTCACACTATGATGCAACAAATTTGAAAGATCTGTTCTCCCGCGTGAACGCTCATCTGGTAGTGAACTACCTGAGGGAAGTTGATCTGTATCATAAATTATAACTGTGTAATGTGACTACCAAATTGCCTGCCTTTATATTTAGTGTTATGCCTTTTTCTGTCTTTAAATGACAATGTAATGAATATATGTTTTTGAAATAAAACTCATTTTGACTCTGTACTTACAATGTTTATTAATGCAGACATGTTCTCGTCACTATATGGCTGAAATAATGTCGATGTGACGTAAAGCCCAACTCAACTCAACTCCACTGATAGTCCATTGGCCAGAACCCTGGAATGGGGGTGATCGGTACCACTCGGAGGGACTAACTGAAATGGTGTTTTCATTGTAGAATGAGCTTTGTTTGCATTGTGATAGGTTTCTATGAATTATAGCGTTTTCTTGAAATCGGCTGTGAAATATGGGTATCCCTTTTCGCAAAACAATTTGATGAAAACTTAAAGGGATTTGTTTCATACTCATCAAAGAAACTCAAAGCAATCATGTTAGATACGCCACTAAAGACAACGCTTTTTTTAAAAAAAGAGAGAGAAAATCGTCAAATAAGATGAGAAGAGACCCGCGTTAGTTCATTTATCATATTATCTGTGGATAATATTAATCAATGTTTTTTTAACTGTTACTTTATGTTTTTATGTTAACCTCTTGTGTTTTATGTTAAGAGCATATAGTTAAACACAAAATATCTTTAAATTAAACATTAAAATGAACCAGCGTCATTGTTGTATATCATACCCCGTCTATCCATTCGTCCTTCCGTCCCTCTGTCAGTAATTCCTCGTTGTCGGAATGTATAGAAATCCAAAACTAAAAAGAACTCGATTTTGACACTTTATAGGTACAGAAATCAAATTTTGAATTGGTGTCTTTGCTTTTGAGGAATATCTCAAGTATTGATATTGATGTCCATGGCAACATGTGTATATATTAGACAGATCACTCTTGCTGGCTAGACACATAGACACCCTACAATACATTTCATCACAGTTAGAACTGATTTTTTTATCAGCGTCTTTTACAGCATATGTTTTCCATTTTCTATAGTGGACAAATGACTGTAGTACTTTCTATATGAACGACGATAGTTTTCACTGAAGTTTCACAGAGGTCCTTTCAAATACTCTGACCGTCGTGGTTAGCCTCCGCCCGGAGAGCGGAAGGTCGCGGGTTCGATCCCCGACCGCGTCATACCAAAAGACATTAAAATATGGTACTTGTTGGTCCCTGCCTGGCACTCGGCATTAATGGGTACAACAAGGACTGGTCGGCTCGGGGTCAGTATAATGTGTCTGAGTGGGGTATTCATGCTTCATTGCGGCATGGCATCTCAGTGGGCTAGCACTATAAAACCAGCTTAAGTCTGGGCTAGTACAAGCAGCCCCACATACACATACACACGCATGCACGTCGTCATATGAGCGAAATATTCTCAAGCAGGACGTCAAACCCAATTTCGACTCACCTCACCTCACCTTTGACCGTCAAAAGAAACTTTACATCAGATTGTAAGACTGTAATAATAAAATTAAAAACAATAGTAGTTTCAAATAAAGTGTCCTTCTCAAAGAGGTCACAGGCCTATAGTATATATATATATATATATATATATATATATATATGATTGGGATATACATAAATAAATGTATTTACACTACAGTGATAAAACATTTGTTCTATACAACATTGCATTGTGAGTTGATATGCCAAGATTTTGTGATATATTTTGATTTTTTACTGCTTATAAGAGCAGAGGGTTTTATAATACTTGAATGGACATAGTAGTATCTTTGAATATATTTACAACGTATTGCAATATACGATGGGCAGATGAACATATAATAATCATTATTACCAATTAAGGATCAAGGATCTGACACACCACTTGGCCGTGCATATCGAAGACGAAAAGATGAATCCTATAACCTTGGAACATTCAGAGGATTCATCATAGTGAATTCTACTTTGTGTAGATGAGCAAATGACTGAGTATCTTTGCTTTAAATCGATTTTATCGATTAAATTGGTTGGAATCTTCTCCAAAAGTGATATTCTCCAATTTAGATGATCATAGACTTCAGTGTGATTGTTACGCAGAATCCGCATGCTCTTACAGGTACCAGACAAACACCATGAAACCATTTTGTATAAATCAAACGTTCAACTGACAACCTATTAATGCACAGAACAAAACATACGGTCGTCTGCTTTTCAAATATAGATGAGTCACTCATTAAAACAGAAAGACCAAAATTCACATAATGCCATCATACGGCCATATTGGCTTGTAATTGCTTCCCTCAAAGATTAAAATGTCGTTTTGTCTTACCAAAATGGTTTCTTTGATGGGCATTTTAGAAGTTGAGTTGATGAAGAATAATGACAATATGGATATACAACTTCTTTTATTCTGTGGAGGCGACGTTTCGACACAGGTTCTAATGTCGTTGTCAAGCAAATTGAGAGAATATATACAGGAGTTGTTGTTACAGTAGATAGGGAATGAGTTGTTTATACAAAAGATGAGGTTGACATACAACGTTTGTATGATAGATTGAGTAAATTGATAGGAAGCCAGTAGGGTGATATACAAGGACTGAATTAGAGCTTATACAACTGATAGGAAGCAAGGTGGATGGTTATACAATGGATGGGGTTGATGTACATAGTTGGAATGAAACAGGTAATGTACACAAGAAATATTATTGATTAATTTATCAAGTGATGGTAGGCATTGGGAATGTAGTATCCTTTATCTCTGTTGAGGGCGGGATCAAGGAACACCAGGCTTCAGATAGGAAAAATTATTCTAAATCAGCCATTGCCGACCACATCAAAGCCCATCCTAATCACACCATCAAATGGGACAAGACCAAAACCATAGTAAAGAACCAGTCAGACTACAAAATTCGTAAACTTTTGGAAGCAGTACACATCAAGAAGATAGGACCCGCCCTCAACAGAGATGAAGGATACTACATTCCCAATGCCTACCATCAGAATAAAAGAAGTTGTATATCCATAATAATTGTCATTATTCTTCTTTACCAAAATGGTGTTTAAACAACAGGCATACAGCCTGTTGTTTAAACACCATTTGGGTAAAACAGACGATACCAATAATGTTTCGACTTGGTTCATGTTTCCATTCACCTTTGATCAACACATTATAGTTGAATTGATTTAAATTGATTAAATTAAAAATGTGTTCTTGGGTGCAAGTGCACTAAGATGTTTAAAAGTCTATCTATTTCTATAAGGATAGGCTACATGACAAATATAATGACAGTTAGTCCCACGAGGTGGTACCGACCACCTTACCTGACCCGTGGACTAAGAGTAATATGTCGTTAAACAGTGTTGTAATTGCATTTCAATATTTCTGTTCAGACTAAGCAGGAGTTCATCATATTGCGTTTGGTTGAACTTAGTTGTCAGGAATGTCTTACTATCTAATGGTGTTTACGTTGCACCTACAGTCATGACCATGAACTCAGCGTATGGCTTTTCTCGCCTCTGATAACAACAAGTCTATTTTCAGGTTGACCGCTGTTATTTGTGAATAATATTGTTTCTCTGATTTTAATTTTACTACCACTGTTATTGTATTTTATACAGTTCATTTGTACTGCATTTGCACTTACAACGTGTACTCGACCCTTGAAGGACCGGGTTAGAATAAACCATCAGTAACACATGCTTGTCGTCAGAGGCGACTAACGGGATCGGGTGGTTAGGCTCGCCGACTGGGTTGACACATGTCATCGGTTCCCAATTGCGCAGATCGATGCTCATGTTGTTGATCACTTTAATCACTGGATTGTCTGGTCCAGACTCGATTATTGACAGACCGCCGCCATATAGCTGGAATATTGCTGAGTGCGGCGTAAAGTTAAACTCACTCATTACAACGTGTATTCAATCATTACCTGCCTAAGAAACACTCTTTTGCCTGTTAGTTTCACACTGAATTCGTTTGCTTGTATATTTCTGGCTTTAGTTATTGTATTAATATTGTGGTTGGTACGGTACTGAATATATATGAGACGCAGGCCATTGTCCCAATGTCAGCACGTATTGAATGTTTACCCATTGGTATTTTCATGTGACGTGAAATACAAGAAGTGACGGTAAAAATATACTCAGAATATTACTTAATGTTAGAGGACAGTCATTGAACCTTAAGCAGTCATTGTTTAATTACACATTTGCCGTAACTTTTCTTTCAAAAATACTTCGTCTAAGAATAACAGTGATAATCATTATCGACAAATGTTCATGTATTAAGCACAAAAGACATAAACAGTTTGTTTCAGTTAAGGATGATCTACACATTGACATAAGTACATCTGATTAGCACCACCCTGGGGTCCAAATGTTCCCGTATTTTCTGGGGTCCGCTGCAGGATCCTGTTTGGGGGAATTGGCTGGCACCATCGTCTTCTTGTAGTCCTCAAACCGCGCACGCAGCTTCGCCACCATGTCCGGCATCTGTTGCGCAAGGTCGTTGTGCTCAGTTGGATCCTCTGGGTACGAATCAGAATAGTGGTTAAAAAAGATGAAAGAGAGCATTATGAACAATACGCATTCATTATGTTATAAAATGTATATAATTTGCCAGTACCCTTCAGCCAGTCCACTCCAGCCTGCATCCAACGTTAACAGTATGCAGTATGGGTGATGGTGGTGTGGCAGTCGTGTAACTACGGTCAGGAAATTTAATGAGCATGGAAGGTCTCGAAAACTCCACGGTATGCATTGGGTCTGTATTTACCACTATGGATCAGCCATAATCATAATTGTAACATAATGTTCAAAACAAGGGACATTTTGGTAATATATTACCATTACTATTACGTTGAGCATTGCCTACCTCTTATGTTGAAGAGATGGACAGGCGCATCACCTTTGATGTAAATCATAGTTTCATATTGTTCATCCTTTGTTTTGTTCATGGGTTTGTGCCAACCGTCAGGACCACCTGGATACCCTAGGATCAGCTTGTAGTCCCCTACTCTGATACACAAAGAGGCAAATTAAACCGTATGAATGAATTTATGATACATTATTTGAAATAGGTCTTTAATTGGGTAAGTAGGTATGGAAATCGCCTTACCAAATGGTACAGGTAATTGTTCCGCATTAAGCATTTGATCTAATTCGATGGTTGTTTGGTTGGTTGGTTGGGTTGCTGTTTAACGCCGCACTCAATAATATTCCAGCCGTATGGCGATCTGTAAATAACTGAGTCTGGACAATCCAGTGATCAACACTAAGAGGATTGATCTACATAATCCAATTCGATGGTAAAACATCATAATACCTTATTCCAGCATGACCTTCGTCTGGAACTTCAAAGTCGTCAATGTTGTAGATGAACTCTGTCCTTGATGAGGGGGAGGCCGTATCGAATAGAATCCCAGTGACTCATTCCATCAATGGTTGTCTCTGTACTCAAAGTACAACGAAAGGTATACAGCCACCATGCCGATGATTAGCAGCATCGTTTCATCAAACTAAGGGAACATCAAAACTCATGTCACCGATTCTTTGAAGGTACAAAATATACCTTCAATATGTCACTATTAGCTTCAATTCCCTTTTATGTCGAGCAAAATATTCCAACTTTTGAGGTACAATAGAGTGTACTGTTTTATTAGGAATTCAATGAGCGCCATACCACTCTTGTTTGATCAAAGCTACAAAATTCAAGGCCTCAGTAAAACTTTCAAGAAGTTTTATGGTAGTCATGTGGAGGAAATTTCAAAATTTGATGCATCAGTGACAAAAATGATGTCAGATGCCATTTCCTAGTTTGACTTATTCAATACGTTCCCGAATTATTTCAGATACACAAATGACTAGACTTAGCAGATGTTTATGACGGGTGATACCAGTGGGGCAGGATACGCTCACTTTTCGCGAACACCTGGTGTCATCACTATTTCATTGTGATTCACAAACACATGTTCTGTCATCTTATCGCATGGTGACAACACAGGATTGCCTGGTCCATACTCAATTTGTTAACGAACAACATCGAGCAGCTGTAACACCGCAGATAATTCTTATAGGTGTGGAACACAGGCCCTGTCTTGGCGAAGATTAACGATTAATAAACATATTTTTTTTAGATGACCCCCTACTCGATATGCTACATCTCAATCCCAAATGTTTTATGTGTTTTTAACATCTTTAATCCTCGCAAAGACACGAGGGCCTGTGGTGTGGAAAGGAAGTTGTGCTTTTAATCTCTCTACCTGGAATTCCCCCAGCAGCAGACACTAAGGTGGGTTTCCAGTCGACGGCATGGATCACCCTGTAAGGTAGAAGCGATTCCTATTTAGAAACACCCACATTCTTGAATCCGCCAAAGAATGACTACAGATAAAGTTAATGTACAAAAGATTCGATAAGGCGTATATCTAATATAAGGGGTGCAATAAGAATTACATTGAAGTTTTATAGTGCAGTAACAGGTGTGTATCAGTAGAAGAGGAAGGGTATTGTATTTGGGCCTCTGGCCCACGTGCAGAATAAAGAAAATACAGAGCAACTAACACAATCGATCGGATGTTGCATGCTGTGTGTAGCAATATAGACATACTTATTGAAACATGACACTGATATTTCTCATATGCTTTCTTGTCCTACGTTCCATTTCCGATCAGCAGTTTGGTTATTTTTACTGATTACAGTACACATCGAAACGGAAAGGTATCATACTATTCCTAGAAACCACAGGGCTTGTAAACTCAGTAATAGCTGTAATATCGAAAATTAATAGCATTTTCTGCTTGTATGTAACGCTTACAGTAATTTTAGAAAACATTTTATACCACTTAAGTATTTTGTAAAACCTGCAAGTTTAACCTCTTATGTTCAAATACTAATGTTGAAAGTATTAAACGTGTTGCAATGTTTTAATATATGCGAGTAATATCGCAACTCTGTGGACCATTGATATGTATGTATCATGGGCCGATATATATACTACTCACTTACGGTATGCATGTCAAACAAGATTTAGGGTCATATGTTATGCTTTGGGTCATCATTAATTAAACACGTATCAAATCCAGGATTCCTGAGTCAGGTGTAATGGTCGTATTTGGTGTTACCCATCATATGTAGTTTGTATCCTCTGGAGGCCTACACCGTACATGAAGGATGCCCCCCTCGTGCCACCCTCCCAGATCGTGCGCTTCGCTCCTCTCAGGGGCCAGTTGTTGGCATACACGTTGAGAGGGCCTCCATTCTGCATGTTTAGTATTGTAGTTCGTAGTAGAATGACTTAATAAGCAATTTTATGAAAAACAACCAACCAAGACACAAGTTAGCAACGTGAAAAACCGGAACTTATTCCTTCCTTAACTTCATCAAACAGAGCAGTTCAGTGAATACCATAGCAGTTTTATGAACAATGTGTTTTTTTATGTTCCTATTGTTCAACATATATAATTGTTTGAAAATAATGAACATGGAATAAATGATCTATATATCTAAGCTGCTGACTATAATGACGTTAAGTCACATTGTCATAATCTGAACCAAATCTCATGAGTAAAACTACCGGGTTCAAGATGCGCACATCTTAAAATAAGAATGTGTTTCTCCCTGTTAATCCCGAGCTGTAATGTACTCACGTCAGTTGTAAACAGAATTAGGGTATTTTCAAACAAGCCCCGATCTTTCAAGGCTTGCGTAACATTTCCAACCGCTTCATCCAGGGCAGACACCATTCCTGTAGGCATTGAAAGTAACCGGAAAGTCATTTGAACAGTATCTAGTGTGATTCGTTGTTGTTCGCCACGCAGATACATTGATACATAGAGGAGATTTCATATTCTGGTGAAACCCACTTACCTAACTGGGTAATACTCTTTAAAGTGACGAAATAATTGTGACAGTAAGAGAATATTAATAAACTCAATAACCGATCTATGATAACTTGCTGTCTCAGATACAAAATAGAAAATTGGGATTGAGACTAAGAATGATTCAAAGTATAACTGTTTTTGTTGTTGTTTTTGTTTTAGGTTGTTTTGGGGTTTTTTTTGTTTATGGGGGGGAGGGGGTAGGATCATGAATGTACATACCACTGTACTTTCTTCGGCCTTCGTTAATGACGTTCGGATACATATCCTCGTACTTCTTAGGCACCTGTAATGTCACATTGAGAAACGGAATATATTCATTACACTGTAAACAAATATCGAAGTATTTAAGAGTATTTAAGTGGTTTGAGTCAAACGCCACGGTGAACTGTGTTCCTGGTTATCGCTCTTACGAAACTTACAAGAACGAGTCAGGAGCCGAGAAACCAAGAAAAATAATCTGGGCGAACTAGCATTCAAACCATAGGCATCATAGGCATCCGACGTTCCCAGAGACGACAGAGGCACCCGTGCCCCTGAAGCGATTCATGCAATTGTGACTATAGATATGACTATATTAACGTCTTTCGACGGTAATCAAACTGTCCCGCTGCTCACACAACCAACAAGGAAGGCCTGTGAAATTAAACCTATCGATTCTGTGATTTCCCTTACCTCAATAGGCTCATGCACATTCTGATATGGAAGGTACATAAACAGTGGCTCTGATACGTTATGTTGATGAATGATGTCAACGGCTCTCTGGGTAAACGTGTACTGAAATGAAAATACGTATTTATGTAATAGCCAAACTAATACCCGGCTGGTGATTCAGATCTGTTACAAGAAGTATAATGCATTTCAAGAAACGTGTTCTTGATTGGTATAATTACTATGAACAGTTACCGACTCATTTCCCTTACTTACGTACAGCAGAATATTCCCCAGAATAGTTTCTTGCCGGAAGCTCATTGTCCCTGTAGTCAAGATACCCGCCTAACAAAGAGGGAAAATACCTTTGATCAAATTCATTTACCAACAATGTATACCAAAAAACGCCCACGAGGAGTTTTCATAAAATCCTACAAGCAGAATGATACGTACCGACAGAGTGATTGAAATAGCCTTCATGTCCATTATAGTAACCAAAGAAAGTATCGAAGCCTCGGTAGGTCGGGGTGCACTCCCACTTGCAGAAACCCAGGTGCCATCTGGAATGACATTGCAGATGGCGATGCTTCAGAAGGTCATTAAGTAACTGCCATGCAGTTTGTCATTATCACATGTGCCAACACGTTGTCATGACTAGCCATGATGACCCTGAAATTGCATGTGAATCCTGGAACTTTGCATACGCAGAATTCCTTGTGTATATTTTGACACACATTCAAAGTGCACGATGAGCTCTAAATCGCTGAAGACGTTTTATTTACAAAAGTCACATTTGTTGACGTCAAAACCTTGTTAATGTCATACCACACCGATGTGACAAAAAGGGGTAGCGTGCAACTGGAATACTAGAGTGAGTGAGTGAGTGAGTGAGTTGATACTCAAAGTCACACTGTCAGCCATTTCGTGAAATACATTTGCCCTGGACATACAATGTAGTTACTGGGCAACGTTCTGCATTCGTTGACGGGGGCAACATGCTGTGGAAAGGCATTACTCCACATCTCAGGTTACTGGTGATCGTCCTTCATACACATGGAAGACACATGACTTTAACGCAGGACGCAATCAACTTCGACTTTACATTTATCGCCCATCTATCACGTGTGCGCTGAGACGAATTCACACCTACTTCCAAACTTACCGGTTACGATGATCTAACTGGGACAGACATTGCTGCTGGCGTGCAATGACTTCACAAACTTCACAAATCTCGTGTCGTCAAAAGGTGCATCGTCGGTATTTTATCACTGCTGATGGTGGTCAGCAAATAAACAAATGAACCCAAGCCACTTTCAACCTTGAATGACGTTTACAGGACGTGTACTTTAATGTCACACAACAGTACATCTACTGGAAGGACTTGACATGCTCACCTAGTGTCATCACTGAAATTCAGTGATCAATTAACATAACGTCACTACTAATTCACAATTTATTATTATCGAGTCTTGCTAAAAGGTTTGGGATCATACATATACATGTATTTGTGAAAGATTGGTTTACAGAGACGACTAAGTTTGTCCATATGTGTAAGGTATGTAAAATATTTCATGATATATGTTACAAATATTGCAGTGAATGTTACATTTATAATGGGCTATGCCAGGTTACATATTTTTCGTTGCAAAAGCGTTTGATTTTTTGTTTTCACTTTTATATCATTTGAGATACTGCTCAGTGAAACACAGGAGCGTTATTCCCACGACTATAAGCATGTACGAAATGGTTTGATTATTGAAGCTTTGTCCAAAGATATGTTTTCATTAGCTCCAGTGAGTGTCAATGGTCGTTTCTACCTTCTGTGTAACGCAGTACTTACTTTCCGATCATGTGTGTAGCATATCCGAGTTTCTTTAGTTCCTGGGGCAGGAATGTATAGTTGAGGGGCACACACACTGCTTGGCCACGGCGAATTGTCGCATGCTAAATAACATATATATTTTTAAGAAATTGCGATATATTCGCAGGTGACAACATGAAAATTAGTTCAATCAGCAACGTGAATTACTAACACCGAAAACCAGAAGTAGCTATACACAACGATACAGTCTTTAACAAACTACATTAACAAACATTGTGGTGAAAATCAAGACAATGCATCTTGTGATATAGTTTGTTTCAAAGGAGAGTCAATTGAAAGTGCGTAAACAGCAAAGAGTAACGGTTTTAGCATTCACGGAGCAGGAGAATATTCTTCAAGACAGCTTGCAATCGCTCAATGACTTTCGGCCTGTATAATGTTATGTTAAACGGCATAATTACCTGCGTGCCTGCGTGGAATGGATACATTCCACTCATGAAGGCAGTGCGGGATCTGAAACAATGAGTGTGTAGGCACGTGTGTTATGCTGTAATATAATCACGTAGACAGATAAACACAGGTCCACCTCATTTGGCAGCTGCTTTTGGTATTATTTGATTACTTCAGTTGGCAATTAGAAATTGCAATATAAAAGTTCATATAGATTCATGTGGAGTCTCTTAGTATCTCGTGACGATGAAGACTGAACAATATCACAGTGATTTACGGGGTGCACAGAGGCTGGACATATGCATTCTCGAAGATGATTCCTTCTGTGGCCAGTTTGTCGATGTTTGGCGTCTTCATGTCAGGATTTCGGTAACCAACATCATTCCAGCCTGTATAAACACAGAGTGTTAATCATCGGATATGTAGATTATTCACCGCACGGTTAATGTGTATACTTGACATGGGACATTTCAGTATCATTTCGTTTCAGTAGGTATTTTACCTGAATTGTATTCTAGAGGGCTTCACTATGTCCACTCACCTAAGTCATCTGCCACAATAAACACAATGTTAGGACGCTGCGCTGCTGACAATGGTAGGACACACAGGAACAGCGCAAGGAGCTGTCGAACCTCCATCACGTTTGGGTGTTATTTACAATTAAGACAGTTGGTTTTATCCTCTCTGTACATAGGCATTTCAACGTCTCGGACGCGACTGATAAATGTTATCTTAACCTTGACATACTTCCTCTGGTAATTGACATAATCCAGCTTAATTAATCAAGGAGGAACATGTGAGTAAATTTATTGAAATTTCAGTATTTTCGCGATTGCATAATTTTGTGCAAGATTCTATCTTAAGAGTTTAAAGATCGGTTTTGAAAACCATGAAGTATGGAATGTTTACGACGGTTGATCTATACATTCCTGTCAGATAACGAAAATATGCTGATTAGTTTATTGTAGACATGTGCAGTCTTTCACAGGCGTGGAACATAACTGCCTACTTGTAGGTCATAACATACACTTTATATCTCAGGCTGACATGTTGCCTATGTTTTCCTGTGAACTTAAACTACGTGGATTAGGGCCTTGTTTATCGATGCACCTACCAACAGTCTTGATCCATATCTAACCGACGTGTAAATTGTCATGAACAATGAACTATACGGGTAAAACATGTACCAAAGTCACATCTTACACAAACGTATGATGTAGATAGAAGAGGGCGTGTTACGACGTAAATTGTAATAAAAACACAAATTGTAATACTGGCAGCAAATTGTAATAAACTTGACGTAAATTGTAATAAAAACGTAAATTGTAATAAAAATTGACGTAAATTGTAATACGCAAATTGTAATAAAAATTGACGTAAATTGTAATAATTTTTGTTGCGGTAAAATGTAATAAATATTTACGTAAATTGTAATAACAGTTTTAATCACTCGTAAATACGCGGGTGTTTTTCGTTGCATTTTATACATGAAATAAGCTTGTTAGGGCGATAACTCAAGAAAGAAATGATGGATTTTGTTCAAATTTGGTACCAAGGTATATTGGCGAGATTCAACGACACAAGTGAAATGGAGTGACCTTGAGATAATTTTCAAGGTCACAGCAAAAATCTGAGGGTTTTGCCAATATAAAGATTGTTAGCGCGATAACCCAAGAATGAATTGACAAATCTTAGCTAAATGACGAAAATGATATTCGTCCTGATATATAATCGATATAAACTGTCCTCTGTATCATGTCTTTTCGCAAATATATTTTGAGGTTTTGATATGTATACATATAAAGTGGGGGTGGGGTGGGGGTGGGTTTCTAACAGGTATATCTAACACACTTGCATGCATGTAGAGTCGGAGAGGTGGGTGGGTGTTCTAACGGGTATAACTACGAGGGACGTTCAAATAGTAGTCAGCCTCACCTAGAATATGATACAAATGCAGCTGTTTTTATGTTTTATTTTTCTGCATATTATCTGTAAGCCTCACGCAAATCGGTTTTGCTATGTTGCAGCCTCACGATCCCCATTTTGTGAGACTTTGTATCTTGGCTTGGTACTCCCAAAAAACGTAAAATCTGCAATAAAATGCATCACAAACTTCAGGAAACAAAATATGCTATGTTTGAGATTGGTAGAAGTCGGCTAGAATCAAACTTAGATATTAAACTGCACAAAAAAGCAATTTCAAAACTACAATCGCTTGTTCAAATGACTCCCCATTCTGTTTACTGAAAGAACTCGAGAAAGAAATGATGGATTTTGTTCAAATTTGGTACCAAGGTTTATTGACTGGAGATTGGAGATTTACCGACACCACTTGAATTTAGTGACCTTGAGGTCATTTTAAAGGTCACAGCGAAGGTGTAACAGTTTTGCACATGCCAAGCTTTGTAGCCGCGAACTCAAGAAAGTATTATAGATTTTGATCCAATTTTATATCAAGGTGTATTAGCGGGATTCCCCCAACACCAATTGATTGGGAAACTTGTGCTCATTTTAAGTTCACAGTGAAAAGTGTTTTGCACATGTCTAACGTTTTAGTGCGACTAGTCTAACGCCAGTCGAATTCAGGGACCTTCGGATTATTTTCAAGGTCACAGCGAGTATTCTTGCTATATCTCCAAACCTAATGGATGGAATTAGTTCGCATTTTGTACCAAGGCATCAGATGACAGCTTCGGTAACGTTTACATAATTTTCAGGGTCAGACAGAGGATAATTGCGACATTCAGATATCGACATGTATCGAGACAGCAATGTTTGTAACAAACGCTTTGCCATTACTAATTTTCAAATTTGTGTTAGCATATGGTTTCTATAATTTCATGTTAATTCTATCAGCTGTGAAATTATTCGTGACACGTCTTAAAAAAGCCAGAGATTATTTGTGTATGTTTCGAAAATTAAAGTTAATTGTTTTTCATTATGGAGTTATTTTCGATGTTGACGCAAGGACATATTTTACGATCAATAGCTTTCAATAATTTAATGTTATTTCTATTACATTTTGAAGTTCGTCATAGCATATCCAAAAATAACACAATATTGTTTGTTTACGCTTTGAAATGTACGTTTCTTTTTCTTCATTTTCGAATTATTTTCAATGTTGAAATATTTGAAGTTAATTTAATGTTTTAATCATGTGTGATTTCTTATGATTTATGTTTCCATCATACATTCATATATTGCGTTGTCATAGTTTAACCTGGTTCGTATTATTTTCTTCATCACATTACTACATATGATTGTATTTTTATGAGAGGGAATTTTAAGTTACATTTGCTAAGGATATCATAAATCGCTGGTTATTCCTTGCCACATAGCAGTCAATCTGTCTACTCATTTGTTGTATTTGATTGATGCATTTAAAATAAAATGTAGAAATGATATTGAATTGCATCATTTGCTTCAAGGAATTGATCAGATGTACTCGTTATCAAAGTAAAGTCAAAACTTCTTTCTGTAAGGTATACAGTGGAAGTTGACACCTTAATTGTTATGGGTAGACTAAAGAAATCATTTATTTAGTTTCACCGCTCAAAATACAACAAAGAATTCAACGGGTGGCATTAACCTCAAAGAATGATCATAGTAATGCTTATAACCTATAGCTACGAGGGCAAACATATCGGGGATAATTTGTTTTCATGCGATATGCACCGGGTAAAATATCACTTTGTCATTGTGACATGACATCATGAACAATGTTATGACGTCACGTTGCTTCTAAGAAGCCGCCTTCTAAATACAACGATGACGGTGAGCCTGCCTTTGTTGGAAAGTAGATTATCGCGTAATTTCCGCAATTAAAGACTTCGGTAATGAATAGAAAATTACATTCGTGACCATAATATGCTAGGTTAACGACCTAAATATCGGCATATCCCTTCTCTGGTTCCGAAAATACCAAGATTTAGGCAGTTGTGTTGTAAACTGATATTTATCTTCTATAAAGTCGGCTATATTCAAACCATGAGAAATGTCGTCAAATAATGTCTGATGACAGTAACCAACGTCCCAATAGTGTCCATATATTTTAGATATCTATTACAATAAAGCACAACCTCACTACTTTTTTTATAAATGACAAAGGATTAATCAACCATATTAAAAGGTTTTCAGGCTTGAAGGACGAAGGTCATTAAAATCTATTGCCATCTCCCTTTTAGAGACTGATAAAAGGTTCGAAAATGTGGGTCATAAATGCATGACAGTTTTTATTGTCGTTCATACCCGTTAGGCCTCCCGCCTCTACATGTATTTGAGATATAACCGTTAGAACCACCACACCTCTTTTCTGCCCATTTATTCAATTGGGCTAAATCATAGTTGAGAGTTGCTTCTATGGATTTTACATATTTTCCCGCAACACCGATTGATGTGTCATCGGCCAACATTATTGTGATATTTTGTAAATTTCCAGGTAAATCATTGATATATACAAGGAACACAAATTAACCAAGGGCAGATCCTTGAGGATCCCCTGCAGTAACATTTAGTTTTACATAATGTTCCATTAACAGAGACACACTGTCGTCTATCAGGGCCCGGTTGTTCAAAACTCGGGTATTTTTTAACTAGCCATTAAGTACATTTAACCGACTGTTACCTAATAACAGAGGGTCATCTTGTTGTTCAAAACTCTGTTAACTTTTAACAGGCTGTTAACGTGACGTTAAGTTAACACACCTAAGGACCGCTAACTTTTTAACAGTGTGCTTAACTCGCAAATGGCTTTCATGGCTATCATTGCTTTCATGATGCCAGTTCAGCAAAGAAAGGATAGGGTGTATCGTTTACTGGACTTCGATATTCTCGAATTATTCTGACGAAGAGTTACATACGAAACTGTATCTATGCACATCATAGGAACTAACATACATGTTGTACAAGAACATGATGCCTACGTTTCATCTTTTAACACTTGTGGAAAGGTTTATATATGCTTTATTACACTAAATGTGTGAATTTCTTCTGTAAATATTATTCAAACAAACACTTTCAAAGAATGTAACACGTACACCCTATACCCACGTATGCTATGATATTGAACAAGGCTAAATGTAGATAATTATATTAGTTTCATGAAAAAATATCCGAATGATTACATTATGGTACTGAAAGTGTAATCGGCGGGATATGGTGATTGTGTATACTCTTATTCTACCGACCTTCACCTCAGAGAAATTGCCAAATAAACTCACATTTTAAGAAAGAGAAGAAGCCAGAAATGCCGATTATTACCGTTGTCGTTCTGCGTGATTTTGCGTCAGTCATGGCGTCACGCAGCACAGAAACTTGACAGTTTCGTGTAAACACATCACATTCCTGTATTGTATCTATTTTTAATTTCCTATTTCCTGCTACTATGCTCTTTCCATGCAAATGGGTGTCTGAAAATTTGAGAAAATGCTACACAGTGTAAAGTCTGAAATCTTCTTTGTTTACATTTTAAACAGGTGTTGTCTTTTGAGCACAGCAGTGGTTTCCACCCAAAATATCTTTCGTTTCACTTTATCTATTGGTATTGGTGACAAAGACCAGCTGTAATTAGATTCTAAAATGTATGAGGAATTCAGTAAGGCTTGGGACGAGTAGGTAACAATGGAATCGGGTACCCGCATGTACGTACCCGAATCGGAATCGAGTACTCGAAAATGTAAGAAATACATTCGGGTCAACTTTATGAATATTCAATCACGATTTGACAGAG